TATAATTGGCATTTATAAATGAATAAAGACAGCTTAGACTTTCATAACAGAGTTAATGTTTATTTGCATTTAGTTGTACGTTAACATATTACTGTATACATTTTGGTAATTTTAAATACATATTTTGAATAACTGTAATCTTCAATTAAATATTTTTCATGCTTTCATAAATCAAATCTTACCAGTATTACCAGCATTTTTATCTCATCAGTGTTTGATAGTGATGCTTTTCACCTCTGTGAAGAAATGATAAGAATCCTTCCCTCCCTCCCTGCCCACACCAGAGTGTTTCATCCCTCCAAATGGCAGATTCAGATCTCTCACTAACCAGCAGTTGGTCCAAACCAGTCCAGCTTGTAGACGCTGGGCCATACGGTGAACCCTTCCCACATCCTTGGACCACACAGTTGCTGACAGGCCGTAGCGGACCCCGTTTCCCCTGGCAACAGCCTCCTCCTCTGTGTCAAAGGGACAGACGCAGGTGACTGGACCAAAAATCTCCTCCTGCATGACGCGGGACCTGTCAGGGAGGCCTGAGATAACTGTAGGACGCATGAAGTAGCCAGACTTGTTCGGCTCAGGAAGGTCGAGGTGGTCGACTCCCTCACCGCAGTGGATTACAGCTCCTTCCGATTTGGCCAGTGCTACAAAGCTGCGAACCTTGTGATTAAGGGAGAAAAAAAAATTAGTTTTAATAAAGCATGCCCCCCCCCCCCAAAAAAAAGGAAAACAAATCAACAGCTCACCTTCTCTAGGTGCTCTTTGCTGATGAGAGCTCCATTGTTGTTGCTTGGGTCAGATGGGACCCCAGTCTTCCACTTCCTTGCTGCAGCTACAAATTTTTCAAGAAACTCAGAGTAAATGCTCCTCTCCACATAAATTCTACTGGTGCACAGGCAGATTTCTCCCTGTAAGGAGAAAATGAGAGAAAGTAGGAGTTTACTTATGAAAGGTAAACCTTGCAATCAACAAGTGGTATATAGAGCATCACCATATTGTCAGTGTGTTTTTCTCCTCATCACCCACACTGAAAACTACTCTCTATCTCTCTACACACACTCCTAATGAGAAAGGTTCAAAAGATAGACAATCTTTTTCTGAAGTCAGAGGAGACGAGGAGCTCTCATTAGCCTGGTGATCAATGGGAGTGAGCGGACCTCATTAACTTATCCGAGCGGTGAGTATATGAGGCAGATTTATCTAACATTGCTGCTAACACTGCCTCAGAGATGAATATCTCTAAACTTCGAACCACTGAATTTAACTCAAAATGGTTTTATGAACCAATTTGGCTCTATAATAGGGTTGTCAAAAGTATCGATACTTAAAAAAGTATCGATACTGAAACGTTGTATCCGGATACAATACTCATTTTCAAAAGTATCGATACAGTGCCACCACCAGTGGCACCTAAAGCGCATCTAAAGTGCAGAATAGAGGACAATGCACTTTCAGAACACTGTGTGATAGCATACAATCTCAAAATATTGTTCTTATTGTTTATTGTATTTATTTATTGTATTTTATTAATGAAAATATTTCTGTTGAATTTTGGAGTCTTTGTTTTTATCCTTGTGGTATCGAAAATGGTATTGAGTATCGAATATTTTCCTTAGTATCGGCATCGAGTTGAAAAGTTTAGTATCGTGACAACCCTACCCTATAAGACCAAGTAACAGTGAGCATTTTTTCCATTACATGAAAATATTATAAAATATATTGAACAGCAAAACCTTACTATTAAATTTAACATTAGATGCACTTTTATATAGTGTTTTGATATACTAAATGCACATATTGGCTCTCCCCTATATAAAACTGGCATTGAGATGCCAGCATGCATATGCAAAAAGGCACAGCAAATAATGTAAATTGTTAATAGGGGAGGGAAATAAGATATATTCATGCAGTTTTTTATGTGCTAGGTTTCTCACTTGCTGAAAACTTTGAGTCAGTGATTAACATGGAGCCCATGGAGCATGAGGCAATATTTGGTTGGTTATAAATGCCTTGGACTTTAAGTGATAACATTTTTGGTTCCCTGTTTGCACTTTATGTACCGGTATGTTAACTTATTTCAATTTTAATTATGACCAGCATTACATTGATAACTTTCAGATTTGATGACTCATTTAATTTAGTTTCAACTTAAATGCAAACAATCCTTTTTTGTAATTTTTTTTAAATTATTATTTACAATAATGTGCCTTTACTAAAACAGGTAGTCAGGGTTCAAGCACTGTCAGTTATATATTACAATAACACGTAATTGAAATCACATAATTCTAAAGTTTCTGCCAATAAAGAAAAAAAAAACAAACCAAAAAAAACAATGAGCTGCCGATAAGGGACCTATTTTTGGGTTTGGTCAATTTTTCAGGGGAAATGCTGCAGAGCAGTTTTCTGTTTTAGGAGGAGGTTGTATTTGGTATGATTGACTGACTTGTCCCAGTAATAAGGCAAAGCAACATTTCTATGATTTTTTTTCTTAATCTATCTTTAAGGTCTGTTTAAAAAATGTTTACATATTGAAAGCATATGCAGAAAATTTTATAAACAAAAGTATCATCACTGATACTTTTGATACAGCTTACCTGATTTAAAAAGCTTGAGCGAACAGTCGTCTCAATGCACCGCTCCAGGTCTGCATCAGCAAAGATAATAGCTGGGTTTTTACCCCCTAACTCCAAGGAGAGCTTCTTACAGTAAGGGGCGCTCCGCTCTGTGATGCGTTGGGCAGTTCCAGTAGAGCCAGTGAAGGAGATCAGCGGCACATCTGGGTGTGCAACAAGAGCGTCTCCTGCTTTTGGACCAGTGCCAAACACGATGTTGACCACACCTGGAGGGACACCTGTCGGATAGAAGGTAGATATTAAAAAGTAGGCAGTAGGATATGATTCTGAATAAGAATCTCTTCTGTTCATATCATGCCACAGCAAAATATAGTCATACCAGCTTCCTCGAAGAGTTTGCACATCATCCATGCAGTCACAGAGGTCATCTCACTTGGTTTGGCCACCACAGTGTTACCCATGGCAATCGCTGGAGCAATTTTCCAAGTAAGCAGGTACAGAGGAAGGTTCCAGGGACTAATCAAGCCAGCTAACCACACAACAGAAAACAGGTCACACTCATGACTCAAGCAAAATCTCTCCAGTCATTAAAGCAACCAGCTGAACACTCACCAACTCCGACTTGACAGCGTACAGTGTAGTTCAAGCAGCCCATGTGGTCCATCTGGCTGCAGTCGGTGGTGTGGTGGAGCACAGATGATGCAAAGAAGCGGAAGTTGTACACAGACCTGGGTATGTCCACAGTCCGAGCCAACATCACAGTTTTCCCTGTAGAGTTAGAATAAAACTTGATGTTAGAAGATATAACTTACATGTGCAATGCACAGAATACTGATGTATCAAATTATGTTAAAATATATAAATAATTTAGAACACTGGTTTTATATAATTAGTGTGATATAACCTTTGCATCTACAGCAATGACCACAGGACATTATTTTGTCTCTTTTTTTGTTTGTTTTAACTGTAAGCTCATTGATTTTCAATATGTAATCATGTGGTGGGGATATGAAATAAAATTTCAAAACATGGAAATATTATATACAGTCTATTGCATATATCTGCTCCATTGCTGCACAATAAAAATACCCCAGATTTCTTGGATCAAGCTTGTTGCTGCCATTAACTAATTTCTGTGGCATAGTGATAATCTTAATATGTGATTCTTATACAAGAGGCTTTAACATGCTGTTGGCTCACCTAGTTACAGATACAACAGCTGATTGGAAAAGTATGTAAAATGTTTAGAATGTTATTTATAAAAATAATTAATCACTCTTCCAAGAAAGAGTTTTTGATGTCTGACAGCAATATGTAATGAAAAGGCTAGGCTTGCAATCTCACGCTCTTCTGGCCATTGTTCAAACAGGTTGGTGCCCAGAAAGTTGTTAACTTGGTCACTATACACCTCCAATTCCACTAAGTTCAGTAATATCCTAACAGAGTGTCTATAAATGGATGGTTAAAATATTTGTGAACTGTTTTGGCTATAATAGAGCAACTAAGAATTTATATGAGTAGTCCGATTTATTTGCATCATAGCATTGAAAGCAGAATTATGCCACATAAAAGTTTTGCATGGCGAGATTTGAATTGAAATCCTTTCAAAACAGTGTTCATATAATTTCAAGAACATTTTATATATATATATATATATATATATATATATATATATATATATAT